CACTCTATGGAATTAGGGTTTAAACCCTCGCGAGGGTTTAGGGTTTGGAGCCTTGCTAGGGTTTGGGACCCCGCAGGCCCTTTAGCTGCCGCCTAAACCCTAAACACTAATTTGTAGCTGCACTCTTCGAAAGTTATAATCTCAGCAGCAGCAGCAGCAAAGATAGCAGCAGCAGCAGCAAAGATAGCAGCAGCAGCAGCAAAGTTAGCAGCAGCAACAAAGCTAGTAGCAGCAGCAGAGATAGGAGCAGCAGCAAAGATAGATGCAGCAGCAAAGATAGCAACAGCAGCAGCAAAGATAGCCGCAGCAGCAAAGACAGCTGCAGCAGCAAAGACAGCTGCAGCAGCACAGGGAGCAGCAGCAGCAGCAAAGACTGCAGCAGCAGCAGCAAACAAAGCAGCAGACCAGCAGCTGCAGCAGCAGCAGGTAATCTATGGGCTTGATAAACAAATTTCGTCAGGTTGTCAAAAGTTTCCCCCAACTAGGGTTTAGGGTTTGCGTCGAGGGTTTAGGGTTTGCGTCGAGGGTTTAGGGTTTGGGGCTTTTTGGGCGGCCAACTTGGCAGCCGCTCTTGCCCGTGCGAGCCCCAAACCCTAAACCCTAAACCCTAAACCCTAAACCCTAAACCCTCGCCCGGCGCCGCCGCTCCGCGCGTCCCCGCCCCCGCAACTCAGCAACGAGGGTTTAGGGTTTAGGGTTTAGGGTTTAGGGTTTAGGGTTTAGAGCTCGTCCTTGGGACGCGAATTCCACTTTTCGGAACTCTTAAGCTGCTTCAGTTTGGGCAAATCGAAAACGGGGGTTTTGCCGGCGAGCAGCTGCTGCAGGAAAGAATTTATACTTTCCTGAATTGTTGCAGCAAATAAACAAACAAATAAACCACTCATTTAGGGTTTAGGGTTTAGGGTTTAGGGTTTAGAGTTTGTTCTAGTTAAATCCGCTCTTCAAGGCGTTCAAACAGCTCCAGCTTAAGCTACTTAGGTGCGCAAACCCTAAACCCTAAACCCTCAACCACACCCCAAACCCTTACTCCCAAACCCTAAACCCTAACCCCCAAACCCTAAACCCTCGCCCCAACCCCAAACCCTCGCGCCAACCCCAAACCCTCGCCCCCAGCCCCAAACCCTAAACCCTAAACCCTCGCGCCAACCCCAAACCCTCGCCCCCAGCCCCAAACCCTAAACCCTAAACCCTAAACCCTAAACCCTAAACCCTCACCCTGCTGAAGCTGCCCCTGTGGACTGAAAATTTATTTCTGCCCAAATGCACGGCGACAACTGCGGGCCACCCGAAGGCCAAATTGAGCTGCTCTTCCACTTCGAAGTTGTCTCCGCCTAAACCCCAAACCCTAAACCCTAAACCCTAAACCCTAAACCCTAAACCCTAGATCCTAAACCCTAAACCCTGGACCCTAAACCCCAGGCGCGGGGACCCACGCCCCAAACCCGAAAACGGCACCCAGCGGAGGAGCCGCCATGAAACCCGCAAACCCTAAACCCTAAACCCCAAACCCTAAACCCCAAACCCTAAACCCTAAACCCAAACCCTAAACCCCAATCCCAAACCCAGCCCGAACCCCGCACCCGAACGCCCCCCAAGCCGCAGCCGCAAACCCTAACGCTAAACCCTAAACCCTATTCCCTCAGGCCCACCCTGGAGCCAGAAGAACTTGACGGGGAGGGTCACGGAAGCCCGGAAAACCTGATTTAGGGTTTGCAAATATTCTTTTCTTCCTTTTTCTGAAGAGTCCAAAATGTGGGGAAGAAAAGAAATCAAACACAAGCTGTCTGTACACTCCGCGCGAAACTGCTCCTCCGACAGCAGCTGCTCCGCAGTCGCCTTCGCCCTGCGCAAACCCCAAACCCTAAACCCTAAACCCTAAACCCTAAACCCTAAACCCTAAACCCTGAATCCCAAGCCCTAGGGCCTCGAGGGTTTGCGCGCTGAAACGCGTCGGGGGCTAAGGGCCGCGGAGACGGCCCCGCCCGCTTCCCCAAGCCCTAACCCTAACCCCAACCCTAAACCCTAAACCCTAAACCCTAAACCCTAAACCCTAAACCCTACAAGTAGAACTCCATGGCGAATTTGACAATTTCGTCTGCTGTGCGCTGCCCCTCGTAGTCCTTAACCATCGAAAGCGACTTGGGGCCCACGGGGAAGATCTTGAGGGTGGGAAACGCCTGCGGCAAACCCTAAACCCTAAACCCTAAACCCTAAACCCTAAACCCTAAACCCTAGACCCCAGCCGCTGCGCAGGCCCCGGCGCGCGCGCGGCCGCGCCCGCGCCGCCGCGCGCGCGCC